AAAATATGGTTCATACCGCTTTTGAGTTCTGACTAGCTTACGCAACAGTTGAACCATTGCCTAGCAGATTATAACTCCTGGATGTTTCGCAAACAGTACACTCGATAGGCTAAAGCGCACGTAAGCTTCTCGTGAACGAGGCTGCGAATATTCGAGTAACTTGATCCATCCGTCTATCTGCCCGGAGAAAACGGGCCAAGTTTCGAAACCGGGGGCCCCTTTCAAAATTAGACTCAAGTTACTGTCACCTAGTTCAAGTCTGAGATGGTAGCATGCCAGTCTGCAATTAACTGAGCAAGATTCTCGTCACACTCGACAAGAAACAAGCAGGATGTATCTAGTGACATTGCTGCCGAATGGCCAATCGCAAGGATGGACACTGTCAGTAAGTGCAAGTGCTCATGGCGATTTGTGTGCGTCCTGTTCAGGATTCCATGTTTCACATGAATTCGAACTACACAGCCATGGATGAATGCAGAATCCTTGCAGAAATGCTTCTCAGTGCCATGAATGTTTAAAGAAGAAGAGGAAGGAATCGTGCCGGAGTAAACTACATTTTATGAGAAGTGTCAACAGTCTGCTGCCCCGAGGCTCCTAGATTGAATCGCACTGATCTGATTTCATGCACGGAGACCTGGATGGAGCACTGGATATCAAACGAACCTTCTGCGGATTTCGCTCTTGAGTGCAACTTTGATCTTTGCGATGCTTAATCTCCTTTGCGTCTTGTGGATTTTGGATTGGGACTGATGTCACTTGATTTTTTTTCTTACTCGTATCATTGCATTCATCCAGATAATTGGATTTGTACACCTAGTCTGTAGTGAGGGAGAGTCACCTTGCATCGAAACTTAGCACATGAGTTTGATTCAAGTTCTTATAATAAGAACATTTTCCGAAACGTGATCCGAAAACGGCTGATAAGCGAGTTGAATTATCTGTAGATGTCCCTGATTATCTACCGACTAAGAGAGAGTCATTGTCTCTTCAGCAAGAGCGTAACATGAGTAGCGATCGGTTGAACTTGGAAATAAGGATCCATGGGTCTTCGAACGAGGCTTCAGAATGTCTTCGTTGCTTTCGCATTGCTACTAGATGACTTGAAATGAGTTTTTCTGTATTTGCCAGAGAGCGATCAATGGGAGAAAGTCGCCATAACCACGTCCAAAGATAGGACTCGGCCTAATCACCATCAGGCCTGTCATTGCCTTGTAGGCTACCTCAAAACATTTGGAAAGTCCTAACCCTTTCGCTCACCACGAGCCCAATTGAACACAGACTACATACAATTCGTAATTGTCTTACGCATATTTCGCCCATAAATTCACTGATGAACCCTTTTTTTTTAAGCACCCAGACACTGTCAAGTCAATTGTACCTATGGCAACCAAGAAATTGCCTAGAAAAAATAGATATTAAAATTAGAGGCCAATTCGGGTTTTTGCCACAAGATGAATGTTATTTATGCAAAAAGAACCAGGAAAAAGAATATAATGTAATTTTGTACCGGTACTGAAAGAATGAAGTGGGTCATTTTACCTGGGTAAAGATTGTCACCCTTGGCGAAATGCAGAGAACAGACTAGCATCCGATCGATGATGCTTATTCCAACTTCCAAGGTTCGTTGCCATTATTTCCTTTTGGGAAGAAATTTGCTGGAAAATGAGGACTTAGAGCTTCTTGTCGGGCTTCGAAAAACTATTAAACGTCATTTGATTTGTTCCTCGATACTTTCCGATTTGCATACATGCACACTAAAGTCAGTATTTTACTTTTTTCCCATTTCCAGGACAAATTCCACGCCAATATGAGAAAAACGCATACTACGAAGCAGCAGCTTCTGTATGGGGCGCGCGCGTGGGCTAGCTGCTTCTGCCGGTCACAACAGATGTCGCATTAGGGAAATTCAATCACCTGTCACAAAAATCTGTGACAATATCAAGGTGAGAGGTAGAACATACTTCGACAGAGGGGACACGCTGTTTCCGAAGGTTATCCTGGCCCAGCCAATTAGTGGACGACACCCATCACCCGCAAATACCTGGATTTGCATGAACTATATTTTGAGTGCGTCCGTCCTCACCCTCGCTCTTGGGGAAGGGGGGGGGAGTCTTGGAAAAGAATGTTCCGATGATCGAATCGAAAATCGAAAATTTGAAGAAATCTCATTGCAGAATGGATGTGTGATTGATTAAGTTTGCGCAGTTTCCGATCATTGGTGAATGAAAATTCTATATCCCATAGTACACTTCAAGGACTCCAAGACCGTGAGGGAAGAAAAAAGTGTCTTCTCCTTATCCATAGCCTTCTCCGCTCCCATTTTCCGCTAAATAGGAGTAGATTCAGCTGAAAGGCCGTCTTTCTAATAGAAGCAGACGCCATAAATTTTTCGTAAAGTCGAGATGATACGGTTTCCAAAGCATTTGCAAGACTAACGAGGCAGATATCCCGATTTTTTATCCGTTGGCTTTGCGAAATAGTGGAGGTCGCACTCCCAGAACGTGAATATGGCAAAGTCAAGAGATATTACGATATACTGCCCTAGTAGCATATAACACTGAAACAACATTGATCCGATGTTGATTCAATGTTATATGCTACTAGGATGTATACATGGTAATGAGGATCCTTCAGAATTCTTTCAGAATTGAACTGGCCTGCATTGATTAAACTCAGCGTCCTGTTAATACCTTTTATATTTTACTTTAGGGCTTTATAATATGGGGTTTTCAACCGGCACAAAAATCCAGAATAAGGCAAATCCTTTTAGAAAGTGCCGACGCAAAGCATTTACCTCCCTGTAGACAGACAAAGGCCAAGGTGCACCGGTATAACGAGCTTTTTACATGCAGACGGGGCTGTCCATAAATCCCGTCCTGTTAAGAATGGCAGGATGAGGAGGTATTTAAGACTGAGTGATGGTACACGGTAGAAGGCTCTCCGTGTTTCCTTTGGTGTGCTTCCAGCAAAGGCAACAAGGGGAAAGAAGAAAAAGAGATTAGAAAAAAAGATGGAAAAAAAGTCGTTAAAAGACCATCTCGCCTGGTTTGGCAGGCGTTGAGAAAACCTTTTCCTCTAGTCGAAGGGTCCCTATTCCCCCTGTTGTGATGAACCTTTCTACGAACAGCTGGGCTTTCTCTCCACCATGTGAACTCGTTCCTCCGAGAAAAAATAATGAATGCTTCCCTTTCGTTATAGTACAGCAAATGCATCGCTTTCCTATTCCATTATCTGATTCTTTCGCGTCTCCCTCAAACTGCTTTATGATGACCTCGATTCATAGCTGTGAGGGTTCGATGTGAAGAGTGCCACAAAGATCACTGCACTGTATGATGTAGCTGACAATAGATTTCCCACTTTCATTGTCACTTGAGATTCTGAAGGTGAACCACATTTCGCAAGTCTTGAGTGGAGTCCCTTCAATGACATCAAGCCTACTCCATTGATATTCTTCATGCCAGTCTTACACAGTGACGTAGCGAGGGGGGGTTGAAGCTCTCCCCCCCCCCCCCCCCCCCCCCCCCCCCCCCATTGTCCCCCCCCCCCCCCCCCCCCACGCGCGGGGGGGGGGGGGGGGGGCCCCCCCCCCCCCCCCCCCCCCCAACTCTGGTCTAAATGTATCTGTCCCTCCCCCTCCGGCGAGAAGTAAGGGAAATTCTAGCCACCCCATGGTTCCGCTTAGCTCCCCCATTGGCGAAATCGTGGCTACGCTACTGGTCTTACACAGCAAGAATTACTGCAGAAGCGGGATCACCGCGCAGCCACTCTGACAGTAACTGCAAGTAAGTGCAGGGGCATCACTGCACAGTTACTGTAAGAGTCATTGTGCAGTTATACCAGAGTTTTCAGTGGACCTTCTTTTCCATTAAGTATACGAATTACACTATATATTTCTGAATAGAGACATTGTAATTCTGCGACAACGCGAGTTCTAAAAAAATTCATGCAACACGAAGATAAAATTTGACTTTTGACTCGTAGATTGGATTTACAGTTAAAATGAATGACCATGACATCATGACTATAAAAAAAACAGCGCCAGAGAAGTTGAGCGATCTATATGAAACTTAGTACTAAAACTCGTCGCAGTTTGTCGTGAAATCGATTGGAGTTTCCAGGGGATAAGATATTTCATAGAGAAAATTCGCCAAGCACTTGTAACGTAAAAGGAAGCTGAAGGTGGGGGGGTCTCACTAATGGCTGAAAATACTCTGAATGGATTTGATGATGACATGTTGAACAGAAACGCCTAATGATGAGGAGAAAAATCAAGGAGGCTTCACATTCTTAGAATGAGGCGATACAGAGAAAACTTACCGAACGCTCGAGGAAAAGTGGAAGAGAGGGGCTCATATTACTGATCCTAAAGTCAGTTTTAATTTCTTCTTCCGTTTAGCTATTTCCACTTCCCTTTAGCCATGTGTGTTCTTCCTGAGTATTTAACTACGAAGCCATTCCGTGGTGACGTCTTCGATGGCAATTTCGCCGACTTATGTGAACGGTTGATTGAGACTTCTTATTTGGGAACCATGCGTCACACATGCATGTTAGGATGGATTCATCACATGCGTTTTTCTTCTCTTTCGGACATTGTACCTATAGGCCCATGAGGTGGAGGAAGATGGAGTGGGAGGGTCATTGCTGTTGCAAGTATTTTTGGGTCTAGGGTGGACTCTAGGCTCCTGGGTATTTGGCATCCTCATCCTTCAAAACTCCACCGATTGCCGCATCGCCAGACTCTACCTATGCCAGGTAGGCTTACATTAACGTCTTTTTCTTAAACTTGGTGGCTTTGGGGAAGACAATGTGTAGAGACTCATCGTCTCGTTGAGCAAGAAAAATAAATCCTATCTGCCTACGGTAGAGATTTCGTTAGCTAGGGAATCTCAATGTCCTTTGAATAAATAATGATGCAATTTTGCTTTCCGAATAGTGTAAAACATGAGAGTGTTCGTTACCATTTGAGTTATGCATGTATAAAACCGATTGATGTTGGCTAGGCGTCGTTGCTGGTGTGTGGGCTATCCCAGCTATCTCTGGTGTCGATCGAGGGTTATCACGGACACGTCCTCTTCGTCTGGATCTACGGGGTCTTCTGCGGGGGATATCATTATTCTCTGAAGATGTACACCTTCGAAAGGGTTCGAGCGAGAAATTTTCCAAGGGCTTGGGCCATTCTTCACTCCTCCCACGCCATCCCCATTGCCATCGCCATCCCCGTCTCCGGTATTGCTAGCCTATACATGCTCTGCGCTTCTATCGAACACGGTTTCCGATTGTAAATAAAAATTTTGTTTTCATAATTTTCTTCATGGGATGGGGAAGAAAGTGAGAAAACATGAAAGAGAGGGAAAGAAAGAACGTTCTGAGGAAAACCGTTTTCGGTGGTAGAGTGGAACTCGGGAGGTGGGGGATCGAGTCTGGTCGGTTCCTCTCCGCCAGTAGAGAACTCTCCTGTTTTCTGGGGAATATATGCCAATCATCTGAAATTTGTAGGTACTCCCCCCATGTGTGAATACACATGCCACTCTTTGTGCCACGTCCAGGAGATACGGGTGCAAAATACCTTTAAAGTCAATCGTGCCGGTTGCCGTGGTAACCACCTACCCATGAACTGGGTAGGTGGGTACCTATCATGCCCCTAGGTCTGCTAAAGGAGGGTTTCCTTGCCTGGGTGACCGATATCGGTTGCCGTGCAAGTGCCAAACGAGTACACCCTTACTCTCAGGGCACCGTAACTGAAAAAGTCCGTTATATTACTGTCCTGTCGTGCAATTGCGATTTTTACATGATTTTTTTACTATTCAAGGATATACCTCCTTTTTTTTTACATTCCTGAACATTTGGGCGATGACACCCGAGTTACAGTAAAACAAACAAAGCAGGGAGTAATGACGCAATTATTTAACTGGTAAGGATAGCTACGTTGATATCAGCATTAAGACGGTCTTTCCGGAAGCCAGAAGCTCCAGCAGCTGGTCACTTGAGGTTGAGGCCTCTATGCCAACCGTTAGCATTAATTTTTTATTAGCCGTAAATTAATTTGTTCATTCAATTTTACTCACAGTCACAACTCCCAACGGATTATCGTTTAACTTCTATTAGTTAAATGGCACGCTTTTAGCACCAAGGTAAAAATTAAGGTTGAGTCACCCTAATATTAGGTCATGTTTAGGCCTATCAAGATTTAGGTCTGATCTAACAATTGGCACTTATGGACAGAACCACAAACCCAGAAAATATCGTCAGTTCAAACACGGCGTATTACCCTTTTTTTGGAACAAGCACAAGTTTCTAAGATGCGAAGGAAAATCGCTATAACTAATATAAGCTTAAGATAACGTAACACAATTTCCAATTTGCCGAATAACATCATAAAATATATCAAAATAACGTCATAAAAGCTTCAGCAAAGAATAACGTAACGTAACAAAAATAATTTTATTACTCGGTCCTGTCTTTTAATCCATACCTCGATTGTACATTGTATTACACAAATACAACGGGATGCAGAAAAATCAATTTGCCGAATCACGAAATGGTGCTCGGCTCGTGTAATCCTTTGTTGCCAAAAATTTATGACGACGAGCAACCTTAGAGTTCGATAATGCCACTGCAACATGGATTCATACGGTGATGGTCGTGGTGTTTGTGGATGCACTACAGGGTACATGAACGAGGTGTTGGGGCGGAAGACGGGGTATTACCTGGGTGCAGGCAGCATCCTCGCATCCAGCCTTGCTCTCTTCCTCATTCCTCTGAGAGAGAAACGACGACGAGTGAGGAAAGAAAAATCGAGTGGAGGGGGAGATCACTCATGCGTCACAGAATCCACGACTCGGACCGATTCTTTCATCTTCCATCAGCAACAGGGACGGGATTCCTCGGACGCAGGAGGGGACTTTCTGATGGACGAAGCCCCAAACAGCAATCCCCTCGTCATCCTTCAGCAATTGCAGCAGTTTAAGCAAGTGAACCCTGAGCAGCTGTCAGCTTTGATTCAGGAGATGAGCGACGTGGATCCCCTCCACGCGGATAAGGGGGAATTGACGTGCATCTCGGAAGAGGGGATCGCAGATATGGATTTTCCTGATCATCTACTGGATTTGGATGATCCCGAGCTCGCCTGCATCACATCGTGCAATCAGATGGAGCACTACCTCCTCATGTCGGAATTCGAGACCAATCTGTATAAAGGGACGTTTGACGCGGATGCGGATTTGGACTCTGATGAGGCAGATGAGCCCCACGTTGCCCCGCGGCCTCAGAAGCGTCGAGTCCGAGCTCCAGTCCGGTTCCAGCGAGCGGCACCGCGGAACCTCCGTGCGACCCCCCAGTTCTCCGTCGAAATGAACCCTGTGTTGGAGGAAACCTCTTAATTGAGAGAAGTAGCAATCTTCTTTTTATGCATGGTCTCAGTTTCATCATGGATCTCATTCTTAGAGTCGTCTTCCTTCCGAGTTTACATTTTTATGGAATTATGATAATATAGGCAATTTCTATTACGGCGAATAGAATATTTTCATTTTCTTTCGACTGGCGAACACTTCGCCAGTAGTAAGAAAACCTTACCCACCTTTTCCCCCAATCGTCAGGAAGCAACAGACTCTCTTTATCCCCATTGATAAATATCCCTGTCATATTCCTTACCAGATATTATCTGCATGTGTTATTTATAAGTCATACATTTTTAAAACCTATTACTGAGGAAATGATCAGCTGCTTCAGTTTGATATCACTGTTTTCCCTTGGTAAACATGTGTGCATGATTTAATCCTTGAAAAGTGTGATGCCCTCGATGATCATGCAACACACCTTGCATCTACAACAAAAGAAGTTTATCGTCCCACTATCATTCTTTCAAGTTTCTTTAAAGATATGGGCTTGGGAAGAACGTCCCATTTGAAATATCCTTGAATACCATATGATTTTTTTTTTACGGACTGAAGTAACGTCATTGTTAAGTATCTTTTTTTATGTACCCCCTCCTGCCCTCTTGGACGAGTGACGAATAGGGTGGGATGGAAAAGAATGAGCTGCTTCCCCAGCGTCATTGGGGCGGGAGCAAGGGGTCAGAGTGGTAATGGTGGTTCAGGATATTGCCCGGCAAGTCTACGTTCTGTCGGCGACGCCAAAGAAGACTCGCCGACAGCTCTTACCTCCTTTTTTTTTTCTTTTTATCATCTTTTTACACGATGTGGAGTCCAGCCCATTTGTGGGGAATCGCGCTTAATTTAGAGTCGAACAGTGTCTTTTGTACCCCTGATAATGAGAATTCTGTCTCGTTCAGTCCGGATTCATTGACCATCCCTCCAACTCCTTGAAGCGAGTCAGCCTGTACTCTGCGGTCTACCTCTCGGCCTAATTACGCCACTTCCTCCCGACTTTTTCCAACTTTCTACGATGCATGATTGCAGCAATGAATCATAACATGCTTGTTCGGTTTTTTTTTGAGGCAATGTCCCCGCTTTCCCATGTTGAATGGATTCATTGCATCCGAAGGACTTATTTCCGATGCTATTTACGTACCTCCATGCCTTCAATACCACGAATCCGAGAATCAGTAACATGTTGAAAATGAATGAACCTATTCAAGGTAACTTGCTATTTTTCAATTTTTTAGTCTCAAACCCTTCTTGAAACTGAGCTACAAAGGATCCCACCATCATACCAGCGATAGGATAGTGAAGGGAAAAGTTAGAACATGTCCTCGGATCCCATGGACCGAACTGTACCGGTCGCGAGCTAAGACATTCTGGACGATCCGACGGGGTCTGCATATTCCAAATTCTCACGGTGGTTTCGATATATCTAGTTAGAGCTTGACAAGGACAACGCCCTCCTGACAAAGAGGCAGGAATCGGGAGTGAAAGGTATTGATTGTTCTTCAATCGATTATTATTTAATTTTATCATTAAAACAGGTTATTATTGCTGGCCATTTGGAAGAGAAAGATGAGGGACAAATGACATGGATACCGAGAGGCCAATACGCGGGAGGAGAGGACGAAGTGCGAGGTTGCCAGATGTGCCACCTCATTAATTAGGCCCTGGGCTCGGTGCTATGTGCAGTTTCGTTCTTCTTATGCCCAAAATGGATCCATCAGCTCCGAAAGCTGGAAGGGAACCGACGGCTCAGGTCGGACAACTTCCGAACGTAGAAAGTCTACCTCAGAAACTAATTTAGCCAAAAACGACCTCAGAATTGTCCATGTGTGCAGGCTTAGCAATATTCCCGTGATCAAAGCGATGCATTTTTAGTTATCGTCGAGGAACGAAAGTGGGAAGACAGACTCACAAACAGGACAGGAGATAAGAGGTCCCATTTCTGCTGCTGTCAGCCTCCGAGTGGTGTTTTATGATCTTGAACATTGGTTAATCGACCACATGTAACCGAACGCAAAACTTCGTCGGTCATATCCATTATTTTTATTATCCCTTTCTGGTGCTCGCATTCTCCAGGGGCGGGGATAAAAGGTTTCTTTTGCATTCGGTACCCGAATTGCCTACTAACCGGGTTAATTTGATTATGCTAATAGAACCCAAAAGAACAGAAGATTAGACCAGACCGGGGAAGAGGACACATTTTCATTCCAGAGCTGATTTCCGTAGAGTCCGTCTATAGCGTTACCCTGCCTTTTCCCCGCCTTGTGGCCCAAAGATAAGAGTTTCATGCTCCAGGAATACACTCCAGCAAAGAACCTCATATATCGAAAGACTGGTGTGGCATCAAATTACAGCGTTTATGATTACTTTCATTCAATTACTCTTATTTTATCGCATGATTTACTTGATCCAATTTGCATTTTCTGGCGTTGGGGCATTTTATGGAAAAAAAATTGCCATTGAAATTTTGCATGGGCTAAAGATATAACTGCAGAACAGTATCGATTACCTGATGATATGAACCTTTCAGATAGGTTCGAATGGGTTGGATTGTAAGGATTCTCGACTTTGATGGTGAAAAGTGCATGCCCTCTCTCAATCGATACCAAGCATGGACGATTCCAATTTTCGAGAAGGGTTCTTTGGATGAAACGTGATCTCGCATCAAATAAAAAGTACAGAATGGGGCAAAATGAAGTAGGCTTCTCATTGATATGTAAGATATTTCATCATAAATCCCTCCAAAATTGTATTACGTTATCATGATTCATTCTTCAAGCTAATGTAGACCAGGAGCAGCGGAAATGGTGCCATTTCCACTGTCACTGTTTCCACTGTTTCAATAGATGAATAAATTCCTGATAAACCCAGGAATTAAAATGCATGATGATCAAGCCCTTTATAAGGTCAGTCTACTTAAATTTGCCCCACCTTGTATAGAAATGCTTTTCCCGGCGGTGAATGAGTATTCGTGCTTGACAATTAAGTCGCGGAGGGAGACATCCGGGGTAAGTGGGTGCAATAAAGGTCGGGACTTTCCTCTCAAATTCCGTTTCGAAGGCGCATCGATCGGCATCAGTAGATGCTACCTCCCTTCTTAACAGCTCCACTTTACAACGCATTGTCGATTCCACCCGAAGATCCTACAGGTAACACCGGACAAAGACGGTAGAAAGCGTTTAGAAGAAACGGCACGGTGCTTTGTTCTCCCCTGCATCCTTATAAAGGAGACAATACACCATTACCCTCTCAGAGCGTTTAAGCGCTATTTAATTGCAGACGTAAAGGCGAAAGAATGGAACTTGTGCTTTAAAGGCCCGTCAGCATCCCAATAACTTTTACACAAACCGCCGCGACGTAGAGATGGGAGTGGAATTAGGTATGATGTGACGATGCCCCAGCAGTAGGAGTCGATACCGTCTCGGTATGAGAGGACGACGCTGCCTCCAGAGCCGATCGTCTTCACCTCCAGTTGAAAAGCCAGAAATCATTTTGCACCAGATAAAAGGAGACTTCGGTCGTCATGAAAGACAGAGAACCTTGTGATGAAGTGATCCCCGCTCGGATGAACTGCTGCCAACAGGAACACGCAAAAAATGAAAAATGACGCTCTAGACCGAGTCGATCGATGATGGTCAAGCATTGCCAGAACTCTGTAGGTCTGCACTACATTAAGGAGATTAAAACTGGTCTCTGGGATAGCATCTTCCTAGCGCGTGGGCCACGGAATCGCTGCAATTTCTCTAGTGGACCAACACGGAAGGAAGAATGAAACGATATCAAACGAAATGAATACGGATCCTTCTGATGACTGACGAGACGAAGAAATTTAAACCAAGAATCCCAAAATGATCGATGATCGCATTTAGGTTTTTAAGGAGTTCCAGCTCTTCCATATTAATGAGTGAAAATTCAGGTTTCTTCCTGAATGTGCGAAGTCCGTACGCCTCCATGGGGATGTGCTTCCGATCCAAGGCAGCCTATTCCCTCATAGTGGAAACCGTCGTCATGATAGCCATCGGACGCCTGACGGCTGATCCCAACAAAAACTAGTTACATGTCAGCACTTTATAAAATTCAAACAAACACCATCTAGTCTCTATTTCTCTTGAAATGTGTGACAAAAGAAATGGGAGCATATTTACCGTCTCTGGATTTTAATATCCATTGCAGACCGACATTCAAATTCTTAGCAACGTGAAATCATTTGGCACCTTTGAGAATGGAGGATTACGAGAACTAGAGACCCAACACAAACAAACGAACACTACAAGCAAATAAACGCGAGGAAGAAGAGCAGTGAACGGGCCAAGGGCCAATAAGGGGTCTTAAGAGCCCGAGACGAGCCTATTCCACGGCTAGAACGTTGGCTTGAGTTCAGGTCCTATCGTGGAGGCTGCATACGCAATTGACGTAGTTCGTAGACGATTCGCCACAGAAACATCTCTCTCTTAAAGGAAGAGGTAGATCTTGAACCTCTGCAATGGGGGTAGGGGAGGGAGGACGGAGGTGGGAAGAAGGGGGAATGAAGGGAAAATGGAGGGGAAATGGAGAGGGGTAGGAAGGGGAATGAAGTAACGTCCTGGTTTCCAGGCACTCGGTCCGGTGTTCTCAAGTATCATAACTGGCCTGGGACAATGAAATAGACACGTAGCACTCAATGAGGCAAGAAAAAGAAACAGGTGGATTTATAAACTATGGCCATCCACGAACGGATGTTCGTGTGGGCTATGGTTTCTGATTTTCAAAAATCAATCGACGTATACGAAGACGTATTTTGTGGTCTGCCTGGGAATGGGAAGCGTTATGGCACCACGGCTGAACGGGCGATAAACGTCGAAAAGAAACAGCTGCACCTTTGCAGGGATCAACGCGTTGTAGGATTCGATAGTTGCTGTTGGAAGAGGAAATTCCTCGTAGGAGAAAGGAGTCGCTCCCGAGGGCAGGGCGCTTCTTGTGAAAGCAATTGTGATTGCATTTGTCACAGTGAAATC